TGAAAGGGACGAACTTTTTTGTTTAATTTTTCACTTAAACTGTTAAATTGACGCACTTTAAAGAAGGAATTAAAAAAAGTGTAAACTGTAAAATAAGTTTCATAGTATTGTAATTATTTGTAATTTTGTTGACATTTAGGCATTAAAATTGACATTTAAACAAAATTCCCAGCAGAGCGCAGTCATTGTGAAAATAATTTAAACATTTGGCAAATATAAATGAGTCAGAATAAGGGTAAACAATAAGTGAATTAATCGGAGTCTTTAGACGGTTGAAAGACATTTATTTTTATTTATTAATTGATGTGCCGCTGGTCTTAATTTTTGAGTTTGAAGTGGAAAGATTAACTATTTTGGAAACAGAAATATTAATCTGTTTTAAAAAAAATTAAAATTTTCAATTAAAAGTTGAAATTCGGACATATTAATTCGTTTTCCGAGCATTGGTTTTCTCGCTCAGTTTCTAAATCCACGCTAAAATTTCTTTTTTGAAAAAGAAAGTTTGTCCCAGAAGTCTAATTATATACTAAAAACATCAGAAAAACAAAAATATTATATAGAGCTTTTCAGTTAAAATAAAAATGGCGATTATAATTCTTAAAAACATATAAAATCTAAGTAATTATTATAATGCAGATAAGACATTTAATTTTTTATTGTTAAATATAAATATTTTTTACCATTTTTTTATTTTTAAGGTTTCTTTTTGTGTAAATAATGATAGTGGCCGGTGTGGCTTCTTTTTTTCAGTATAATTATTGAAGAAATATTTTATTTAATGAGACCCGAATCCCAAAATTTATAAGGGACAATTTCCAACTAAAGTTTTAAAATGTACAATATTATTAAATTTTTATTGATTTTTGCCAAAAAGAATTCTTATAGAAACTTCCAAAGACAGACTAAAAAGAAATTTGCCCTTTCCACCACATTTAGCACTATTTTGTTAGTTTTTTTTTCTCCTTTGAAGTACCGAGAAAACGTCTTAATTCTGGAAACACGGACAATAAAGCCATTTGAAGGCTGTTTGCAACCGCTGGCCGCATAATAATCTTTGTCTCCATCGCCAAACACTCAAGTATCCTTTGTGTTTTATATAAAAAAAAAACTCCAGAGCGCAGGAGCTGCAAGGTACGGACCACCAACATGCAGAGCCGAGAGATAGAAATAAGATGCACCGGCTGCGCGATCGAGAAAAGCATAGCAAGCGGGACAAACATTTATTTTATATTCCGTCCGATCGAGAGACCAAAGAAAAATAATCAGCATCGGTGGTGGCGGCGGCGGAAACTGGTTTTGAATCCGCAAACCGTGGTGATATTTTATTTTATCCTCGCTGAGCGTGCAATTTTCCTTGGCCGGAGAGCAGCCTTTTCTCTCCTCCTCCTTCCTCGGCCGCCGCCGCTTGCGGACGGACAGACGAGATGCTGTAATTTTTTATGCGTCCTTGTTGCCGCTCTTTATCTCGCCTTTCAATCAGAAACAGCAGCAAAGGCAATTTATGCGTCGACCGGCCTCATTGAATTTATATATTTTTCATGCCGCATTTATGTATTTTAAAAGCGTCTAAATAATCCGCGCTCTCTCGCGCATGCATTAATATAAATAAATAAATAAAACTTTCAAAAGTTTCTCGTTCGAATAAATTTATATAAATAAACCGCGCAGCATATTGTGTGAATGCTATGCACTCTCTATTCTGTACTCACAATCATGAGTCTCTGACTGAGACGCTTGGCCGCGGGAGAGCAATGAAATTTTATTATTTTCCACGGCGTCGTGTTGTTTGTTCGAACGCACGCCCCGTCCTGAATAATGTGTATTTTATTATGTAAAGTGTAATTAAGTCTCGCGGTCGGTCGTCTGCGACTGCTGCAGCGCTTAGAGATGCGTGGTGCTTGTTATTTCACGCTTTAATGCGCACCGCTCTCATTTTTCCACCTCTTTCCCGCCTCACTCTCTTTTATAGCTTTAAGATTTATTTAATTTAAATACTAATTGCAAATTAATTACCGTTTCTAAGCAAAATTTGTCATAGGCTTAAGCTAACGCGCGTTAATTAATTAAATTATTTTGGTGTATTAGAAGCAGCGCAGATTAGAAGGAAAATAAGCGTTAATTATATTTAATTTGTGTTTTGAAAATTCAACTGATAATTAACTGTTTTATAGATATGAATTATTAGCTAACATTGCAAATATTAAACAAGAAAGACACACTGCATAAATTTTAATAAAAAGTGAAAATTTAATAATTAAAAACGATGCGTGCGGCTTGATAATTTCAATTGATATTTTCTTACAGCTCCAATCTCGGTTCAACTGAAATGGTTAAGAAAATATAGAAATACATACAAACATAAAACATGGGTTTCGTTTATTCAAAAGTAACTTGCAAGAGGAGAATAAAATATATCTTTTTGTTAAAAAATAGAAAAAAAGTTTTTTTTAACTAATCTTATCGTCTCAATTTCTGTTAACCCCATTCATTGAAATCCAATGAACATTGTATATAATAAAGAATTCAATGTTACATGCCGATTTAAAGATATTAACAAACAATTAGATACCCAACGAAAGGGAAAAATTAACCAATTGGTTCTACACTTAGAAAGTCTTGGGCTTGAGATCATTATAAAAATACAAAATTTAATAAAAAAGAATTAACAAAAGTATATCTCTTAAATAAAAAAATGTAAAATTTATAAATTAAATTAAATAGAAAATATATACGGTTTAAAATTTAAAAAAAGCTTTAAATAAACAAAAACTGTATGAAATGATGTAATTAAGAATATAATTTAAATAATTTTCTTTAGTTTAATATATTTAACTATTTGGCAAATTATAAATACAGATTTTGAACACAATTTGGAGCTTCTTATATATGTAATAAGCTGCTGACGAGCCTTTTTATCAACATAAGCACATATGCGCGCCCAGCAGACTTTCATTAATATCAATAAAATGTGTCCACAGATGGAGAGGAACCAAAAATAAAACAGAGATAAATGAGAAGCGGACGTCAGCTTTTTTGCTGCGCAAAGTGCTGAAATGAGTTATTTTCCCTCGCGCACATGAAAAAGGCGAGGGCATTAAACGCACTTGCGCTCGATTGAATCCACGATATGTAACGAGAGGAGAGAGAAATACCCTAATATGGAAAATTATGGGGTTGGAGGAATAGAGACCGAGAGCAAAAGGGGCTCTCTCTTGTTGTGCAGAGAGAGATGTTATTATCGCTGTTGCTCTCTCGCATTGTTTTGCGCCGCGGATAAATTTTTACAATGGTGCCCCTTTCCCCTCCTTTATTGCGCTCTCTCATTCTCTCTCTCTCTCTCTACGCTTAGTATTTTTATTTTATATATATTTATATCTCGCCGGAGCCGCGCATATTTCAAATGCCTTTGTGCTCTGCTCTCTCCTGTGCGCGGACCCCTCGCGCTTTGCCGCTTCGTGGGATAAGTCCCTCATTATATTTCAGATTCGGATCGTGAAATGCGAAGGGATAGGTCCAGGTCACAACATTATGCGCTGCTCTGTGAAAACTGCTGCTGGGAATTTCAAGAGAGGGATGATTTCGTTCATTCATTCCGTCCTTTCTTTTTCCTCCTTTCAAAATGTGACATAGGGGAGCAGAGAAATTTTATTTTTCCCAGAGAAAAATGTAAATTAGTTATGGTGCTATATATTATAATAACACAACGCCACACATATACTCGAACATCTTTTAAGTCTCATTTTTTCTTATGAAAAAAGGAAATTTTGTAATCAACGTATCTCCTTAAAAACGCAAAGTAAAAACTTATCAAAAGTAGGGATACAATATTGATAAATGTTAACTGCTGATTATTTTTTAATTTTTCTCATCTTTCTTGAGCTAACTTTACATATTTCCCAAATTCTGTATAATATTATATAAATTTATTTAAGAATCATAAATTAAATTAAAATTTTTATATTCTTATAAACCAATAAATTTTAATTTGACAGCAGAAGTTGAATTATAAAGTGCTCTTGGCACACGTGTTAATGAATGAGTTGCTTTATTCGTGACTTTTAACCTCAATTCATAATAAAGGTTCCGCATATTAATGGCACACTTAAAAGTAATACGATCGCAAGTTATTTGCATTTGAATGAGAGTTCAAAAAGTATAAAATTTCACCAGCGGAATTATAATCAAATTCGTTTCATCCCAATTTGTTTATGCTTGGATTAATTTCAACTTGCAAACTAAGAAAAACTGTGTCATTTTTAAATAAATGAAACCAGAAATAGCAGCAAAAGAAGTTCCAAATCTTAATGTTAGTTGCTGGAATTAAAGCTCAATAAAAATTTGCACGCACAATCACAAATGATGAAGCACATCTAAAGTTTTTTTAATCCTCGCAATTAATTGACAAAAATTAAATTTTTAAAAACTGTCATATCATTCGCGCAGACATTTAATATTAAATTTTTGTTAATATCGTATAGTAATGGAATGTAAGGAATAAGTAAAAGCAAATTTTGAATCAAACATCACATAATTAAATTTTCTTAAACCAAAATATTAGTGTGCCTTATATATGGACCCAAAACGCACTCAAACATCCCGATGATGGCCGCGCCTGGTTTTGCCGCAGCTTCATTCAACATATATTGCAATGCTTTATTGTGAAAGAGCAGAAAAAAATTCATGTAGAACAAATTTGTCCCAATACTGATTAAAATTTTGAAATAAACAAAGAGATCGTAACTTTTGTTGATAATCTTAAATTAGTATTTTTATTTAGCGTTTTGTTACAGCAGTTTTCAGTTATAAGAATTAGCCTCGACATTAAATTTATTTTCATTTGTTTCATATACAAAGGAATTTAAAAAGGAATAATGCAAAGTATTTTTAAAGTTTTTAATTTCATACTTTAGTAAAAATTGTTTTTAGAGAATCAAAATCGGACACCAACACTTTTACTAAAAAAAATTTGAAAGTTTTTGGAAATTCGTAATTAGATTTGCGAATCATTTTTGCTCAAACAAGGGCATTGGAAGTACCAGCAGGATAGCGGTTGGCAGGTAAAAGCCAAGCTCGTTTTGGCTCGGGTTCGTCTTGATCAGCTATGGAGTCATCGTGACTTTGACTTTGACTCGTCGTTGGCTCAACCTCCCAGTCACCCGCTTCCTATAACACAAATATTATCATTTATTTACTGCACTTTTGTCTAAAATTAAATGTTGAAGTTTAAATCTCACATAAAACTTGGAGAAACAATGCTTACCACTCTTTTATAAAATTCATAGGCCAGGGAGAAGAGCAAATTGTAGTGGTAGAAAATCGGAAGGCGCTCCTCGTTTGGGTTGTCCGACAATTGCTTCAGGGCGATGGCGTAGAGGAAGCACTGGGACATGCGTGAGTTGAACTGCCGCCGCAATCGCAGCGACCAGATCAACTCATCCTGCGAGTCGTCGAGCATTCCGCAATTTTCAACAACCTCGCGAATGTTGGCGATTGTCGGGGTAGGAACGGCCTGGAAAGCAAAGATTTAATTTAGTTAAAAATTATAAAAATTATTCAATTTTCTTGCTATAACGTTTTTTATTTTTAAATTTTCAGTCATGCTCTGAAATTTTGAATAATTAATTAATGGCGCTTTTGGTTTAGAAAACTAAACCTGCAGAGCGATTATATACTTGGAGATAAAAAACGCATTGCAGAGGAACCGTGATTTGCAAAGAAGCACCTTGATATTTATAGGAAGTAAAAGAGAAAGAAAAAAAAATGCCCCCAAATCTGCTGAATTGATTAAAACTGTCTTGTTTTGGAAATTAAATTGACAAAGAAGCGATTGATTTTTGGTTTTTGGAGAAAACGTCTTGAAATGGGAAAAGAGAAAAAAATGTCTTATTTACCTTCTTTTGGCAGAAACTGTGCAGAAATCGGTGCTCTCTTGGGACGTCGTTGATGTGCGCGACTCGGTCAAAAAATTGCGCGTTGTGTTTGGTGATGAAAGAAAACGTGTAGAGATGGTTGAATTTATTTGCCTCGTCCATGGTCGAATCGGCCGATATTCACTCGCCAACACTGTGTGGAAGACTGACCGTCTGAAAAAGAAAAAGCCTCAACCCCAACCGGTGTGCGGACGATAGTTTTTCCGGACGATAGTTTTTTTCTCAAAACGGACAATAGTACAACGCGGCGTTGCCACATAGTGCGCGCGCATTTTGAAATGAAGTGGCGGGAAATGGATGCGTTCAGCGGCTGTCACATGCAATTAAGGAGTGAAGTTTTTTTATTATTCCAGAATATGAAAGTTATAAAGTATTTAATTTTAATTTAATTTTAACTTCTTTAACAAAAATACTTAAAATATGAAAAGAAAAAAAAAACGGAAAAGAGTGATTTTAATCTATTCATAGGACTGAAGTCACTGAAGTATTTTTTTTCCTGAATAATATACCTAAAAATATTAAATTTTATTTTAATTTTAACTTCTTTAGTAATAATAAATAAATATTATATTTAATATTATACAAAAATAGAATAGATGGATAATGGATAGACTTTGTCGTACGAAAAGACATATGTCAAAAAATCTGGCTCGTCAAAAAATCTTCGGAAAGTGGCTCGTAACATTAACTTGGCTAGGTAGATGAATGCGCATTATTGTGACAGGATGAAATTTAATATAAGTGTAAGAGTAATGACAAGAAAATAAAAAAAATTCTTAGAAAAATGTAAATTTTTTATCATTAATTTAAAACAATTAACTTTTATTTTTACATTTAAAAAAAAATAACTTTTTAATAATTAACTATTATTAAAGAGGTTAAAATTAAATTAAAATTAAATACTTTATAACTTTCATTTTCTGGAATAATAAAAAAACTTCACTCCTTAATTGCATGTGACAGCCGCTGAACACATCCATTTCCCGCCACTTCATTTCAAAATTCGCGCGCACTATGTGGCAACGCCGCGTTGTACTATTGTCCGTTTAGAGAAAAAAACTATCGTCCGGAAAAACTATCGTCCTAGCACCACCCCAACCACCTCTTTCAACCCACGTTTCTATTGGAAATTAGACAAGGGATTCCTTTCCTTGACAGCAGGGGCACTTTTTATCCCATCACACATTGTCTGATTTTCCACGCTTTTGTTGCTCGCGGGCGTGCAATATCCGCTCTGCCCCCGAGCCCAAAACTCCAACAACATGAGGCACCCCTGCTTAATGTCACTTCTGCTGGCTCTAATGTCTTCTCAATAGACTTTTTCATTCACGGCTGATTGAATTTCAATTACACGCTGAGAAGTGTTGGACTTTGGAATACTCTTCAAATAAATTGACATTTTTACAGTCTATTGAAATTCAGGCGCCTGAGCGAAAATGAGAATTTTCGACTTCCTGCTTAAATTTTCATTCTCCTTCAGAAAAAAGATGTAAAAGTTGTAACCACAAAGCGATTTTCATTGGAATTTTCCTTTGCATCCCTAACTTGCAGATAGTATTATTTGTTGAAAAAATGATAGAAAAATATGATGCCATCATTAGCATTTTAAAGAATCAAGAACTCGAACAAAAAAAAAAACTCAATTTTTATCAGCCAGGTGCACAAATTTGGCTAATTTTTTTAATATTAGAATGTAAATTAAAAAATTTAACAGGCTTTATTCAAAATAATGTTTATGCAACTTCTTATGTATTTTACCCTTTTTATACAGAAGAAGGCGGCCGATTAAAGAAAACGTTGAAAGGAGCGGACACATAAAAAGTCTGATGCCGTAAGCATGCATGGTGTTGAGCGCCACGTATATCGCCGTCGTAAAAAGTGCTCGGATCCCCTCTTTATTCCAATGCCACACACATAACCAAACATTCATAAAAAAGGCGACCCTTTCTGCTGTGACAACATGATCCATAAAGCATTACATATAAAAAGGAAAATATTATATGGTGGTCCAGTATGTGGATTATGCGATCTTTTAGTGCGTGAACCGCGGAAAACAGAAAAAATTATAGAGACATGATCAGGCCATATTTGAAACAATAACCTTCTGCCTTTTTTTTGTCGTAATTTCAATTCAGACTGCAGAAATTTCCAAATTTATTCAAGTAGTTGATGCCTCAAATAAATTATTATAACATTAAACACTATTTTGATCTAATAAATTAAAAGCTGCAATATGAAATAACGTCAAAAATTAAATAAACAACCATAAACAATTTGCTCATCTAATTAAGTCCGTTAAGAGGAAATTGAAGAAAAAAAATATAATTATTCAAGCCAAAAAAGCAATATAAACCTTTTTAATATGTGCGAGTCTTGGATGAGAAGCGCGCGCGCTCCTCCTCTTATATATTAGCATTTTTTGATAACTTTCCGTTACATTTCAGTCCGAAACTGTAGCTCAAATACTTCCGTCTTTTTAACAATTTATAGCCTCCTTAAAATACAAAAGTATAGTCGTTGAATATTTTTTATTACTTTCAGACATGAACTAATTTCTTATAATTTTTAATTCGCCATTTTGAGAGCGAGTCGCACGTTATAGAAAAGTTCTGGCCATTCTGGGAAAGCAATTTTAATTAATGGTTGTTTTAGAAAAATGCTCTTTTTGCAAATCTTCTTTTTCTTTCTAAAATTCTAAACATGTAATAAAGTAAATTATATTTTCATCAAGTGTGTTCATTAAATTGACATTTATTTATATATTATTTTAGCAAAGACGATTTATGAATTTTAAAATGAATATTTTAACCGTTTCGATAAATGATAAATTTCATAGAGCCCATCAATGAAAACGAAAAATTTTTTCAAACCATATTTTTTTCATCATAAAGAGGCAGTTTTATAAACATTTTAAAATAGTTATGCACATACAAATGTTTTATTTAAAAATTCCATGTTGCAAAATGAAAAACATCTCGATTTTATATATATAAAAAAAATGGTAAATTAGGAAAAAAAAATTTTTAATTATAAATTATATAAAGATAATTTTAAAAATCAGAATATAAAAAAATGAATTATATTAATTTTTTAATACATAAGGTTACGTTATTTTCTTAAAATTAATTTTGCGCTTGTTAATTGTTGTAAAAATGAATGGTAAAACATATTTCCCCAGTTCAAATTGAATTGATTTGCATCCTCTCGCTTTAATTGTCCACTCGGCACTCATCGCACGTTAAGAATTAAGCAGCGTTTCTGCGGGCGCAAAAAGCGAGCGCACACATCACACAGCCGCGCCGCACACTGTGAGCGTAATTATCCTTGAAATTTATTGCCCGCGTCGCCCAGTAAAAAGCTCCTATGTAATATACTTAAAAGCCAAGCAGAGTCGCGCGCTTTGCAATTTATTTTATAGAGGGACCAAGTCGTGAAGTTTGTTTTATATAAATGCGTGGCGGTTTTTATGGGGATTACTTTTTGGTTTCGCGCCGCACTTCACTAAATTAGTTACTCTTATTGCAGTCGAGAAAATGCTGAATTAATTAAGAGTAGGAAACTCATTAATTATTCAGAAATTTTCGTTTTTTTATCAATAGATTGTTTGCACTTTTGAAATTAATTTGAAGGCAGATATTTTGAAAATCTTATATTATTAAGAAGTTTGCATTATTTAATTTATTACTGTTGGTAAAGAAATAAATTAATAATACATAAATCACCAAAGTTAAAGATGAATATAAAAATAAACACAATTGATGGTATATAATTAAAACTAGTTTCAGAAAAATTTAAATTTGTTGATTTCTCAAATTTTTCCATATCGGATTATCTGAAAAGAAAAGAAAATGACAAAACTTGCATTATTTTTTAACTTAAATGTAAACAGTGTGATCGTGTGATGTAAAAATTGTACAAATGTCCATGCAATATAATAATAATAATAAATAACAGTGCCCCAGAATAGCCTTCTCTAAATTAAAAAATAGCAGCGAGTTTGTATATTATTTCAAAATGAGATTATAATTGCTTCCCACGCCCTTGGAAAAACTGCAAATATGGGCTCAAAATTGAGTGGAAATAATTATTTTTTAGGGGAGGGTTTTTAATTATTAACATATATACCTTTTTTAAACAACAGAAGATAATTTTCGATTATTTTAGTATTCAACAATTATTGGTGCTCGTAAAACTTATCGGATTATTTAAAGAGACAATAAGACATTTTGTTGGTGTTCAAAAATTAGTTTTGTCAATTTCATCCAAATATTATTCTTATATGCTCAAATAGCTGCATGCACCATATCGATGCTGAGTTATCATAATTTAATTAACATTAAACATCCAAAGCTCTAAACGTATTTATTTATTTATTCTCTATTCAAATGCATTTTAAAATATTAAATATTACAAAAATATTCAAGCATAATAAGTAATTAATTAATGATAAGTTAATATAATAAATTAATTTATATCAATAAAAATTAAAGAAAAAAAATGCACTCGGAAATATAATTTACATTTGCCATAAAATATACTTTATTTGGTAATGTTATAGTACGCGCGACGTGTTTCCCAAAATCCCTGATTTCAGTTGGCGTCACTTGCATTACGTCGCGCGTTTAATAGTGGTTTTACGTCGCGCATACAATAATGGTTTTACGTCGCGCGCTCAATACTGGTGGCGGTGAAATTGTTAAGGAAACCGATTATTCCATCAATACCTCGGCAACATGTATAGCACGCGCGACGCAATTCTTTTCCTACAATCTTAATTAAGGGGACTGCTAGGAAGAATAGGGGCCCTTGGGATGGGTTCAGAATGGGGCAAGACGACCTCCGGAGGGCCGTGCGCACCCTTATAGCACGCGCGACGGGCCGTAAATCCAGTGAGGGGCAAAGCGAACTCCGGAGGGCGCTTTTCACCATCGTAAGAGACGCGACGCATGGTTATAGTACGCGCGACGCATGGTTATAGTACGCGCGACGCATGCTTATAGTACGCGCGACGCATGCTTATAGTACGCGCGACGCATGCTTATAGTACGCGCGACGCATGCTTATAGGAGGCGCGACGCACGACAAATTAATTATTTCAAAAGGTGTTGCACGCAGCCGGAGTTGTGGGCACCCCACGAACCGGCAACTCGGAG